GTCAGTCATGAGAGCATGTCCAGGTGGACAGAAAGGACAGTGGGTCTCCAGAGCATGAAGGAAGAGGAGATAAGTGATGTGTATGCATTAGGAGAACTGAAAATTTTGGGAGCATTCATCATTAAGAGCAGTGCACAGAGCAGCAGATAGAGCACACAGAGTTTGGACTGTGCCAGGGCAAGGGAACTGCTGTTTGTGAGTCCTCTGAAACTGGAGATGTGAATATTTGCTGCGATTCCCACAGCTGCACATGTGGCTGTGCTGGAGTCACACCACGAGAGGGAGACGGACACTGGAGCAGAGCACGGTCTGTACCCAGCCCCATCCCACTGCCCGCAGGGGAATGTCAAACAGCAGCTTTCTCTAGAGAGTTTTACAGGCCAAAACGCAGGGATAGAAGCTTCCCATTCCCATTTGGCTGTTGGCTTTGTATAAACCCAAAACTATTGCTCTTAGCAAACAAGTCCAAGATTGTGACAGGCCCTGTGGTGCTCTGTGCTGAAACAGATTTTTCCACTCTTTACTCACTCCTAAAAACAAGATGATGAAAAGCAAAGTGGCCACAGATGTTGGTGGGGGCTGACGTGCTCCTCAAGCCTGTGGGACAGGACAGACCATGGCTGGCCAGAGCAGCTGTGTCCTCAGCCAGGACATGGGCTCTCTCTCACTCCTGCCACACTTCCATTACCACTGCCAGCTCTCCACACACCTCAGAAGAACCACAGACTGGCAGCACTTCTGGAAGTGAAACATTAGGTTTGCCAGCCCAGGTGAGCTGCAAAAGTCCCTTACCTCCCTGTAGCAAATTTGGAGCATCACCTTATTTTGACACCCTGTCCCATAACATCCTCACGGACAAGTTAAAGGAGTATGGGCTAAATAAATGTGAAGAAAGTTGGATTGAAAATTGGGCTCAAAGTGTTATAATTAGTGGCACAAATTACACGTAGATCCCAGTCATTAGTGGTGCAAGCCAGGCATAATAAGTTTACTTCTTAATTAAAGATCAGAGTGTTGGAGCACCCTCAGCAAATTTGGGGAAGGCACAAAACTGGAAGTTGTGTTGGGTATACCAGAGGGCTGTGTTGGCATCCAGAGGTGATCAGCAGGCTGGAAAAAATGGGCTGACAAGAACCCCTTCAAGTTCCAGAAGAAGTGTGGAGTCCCACATCCGGGGAGGAACAATTCCATCCGTACATGCTGGTGGCCCTCCAGCTGGAAAGCAGCAAAAGAAGAGGCCTGGAGGGTCCTGGTGGTCACCAAGGTGACCACAGTGCAGCAAGGGGTCCTTGCAGCAAGAAAGCCAATCTCTCTGTGGGCTGCATTAGGAGGAATTCTGTCAGCGTTTCCAGGGAAGGGATCCCTCCCTTTCCCTCCCAAAGACTGGTCATGCATCACATATCCACCCCCCAGCCTGGCAAAAGCAGACCAGGACTTGGGGTTTAGCCACCTGCAAAGCTCTGTATAAGGATTTACACCATTTTAAAGCACTTGTTGGAGTCCAGGAGCTGATGCAGCTCCCTGAGCAGGCCTATTCCCATCGGTAAAAGCCAAGTCAAGGAGTGCAGCCAAAAACAGCAGTAAAAGCCAATCTGCTACCAAGTGGTTCTAATGCACCACTTCAAGGCCACTTAGGCTTGAGAAAGGAGTGAAGCCAAAGTGTGTGAAGCTGAATTAGGGCCATTAGAATCTTTCCTGGCACAGCTGACCAGTTCAAGCTTTGTACCCAGCTGATGCAGCCAGGCAGCTCCTGCCGGGCGAGCTAAACCAGTCAGGGATCATTCAGCTTTTTTCTGGTGCTGTGTCTGGTTGAGATCCAGTGGTGACATGGTTCTCACCACGTCCAGCACTGGGCTTGGTCCAAGGTGTCTCTTCTCAGAGACACCTTCCCAAAGAGCACACAAGAACATCAAGCATCTTCTCCAACAGAGAGCTGGTAAGTCACAGATTTAGACCTCCTAAATGACACAGAGCTTAGCTGTCAGACACCAACACCAGCTGCCTTGTCCTCAGCACCAAGTGGTCTTCACACATGCCTAAAATCAAGAGGAAACTCTCTAGTCCCCTGTGTCACCTGCATGATCAATTTGCACACATTTACCTCATCTCCCAGAGCTGGTGGCCCACTCCCAGGCAGGTGGTAAGTGACAGCTACATGACAAACGTGCACATCTCAATCCTTTTGCCTAGGAATGGCCATTGCAAGTTCAGTTTTCCTACGTTGAACCCCAAAGGATACCTACATCACTTACAGCACTGGAGGTTAGTGCTGGGCACCAGAACTGGCACTGAGTCACACCTGGGTTTTCTATCATTCCCACCTTTCTACACCAATCCTATACAGGGGGAATCTCAGTCCTCGGGCAACCAGGAAGGTTTTCCTAGGGCACACAGCTGCAGGGAGGCATTCCTGCATCCACCTCTCCAGCAGCTGGCTGCACCTGGGATCCAGAGATCCCGTCACATGGCACTGGAAGCTTTCCCTGCTCTCCATCCCAGAGCAGCAAGCTCTGCCAGGGGCCTCACTCCCATCAGCAGGCTGTGATCCTGTTACTGATTAACCAGCTCTGATAATCGAACAATGCTCCACTCCAAGATATCCATCACTGACCTGCCAGCCACTGCCTTCTTTGTGTGTCGCTCCAACCTGTCAAGCAGCTCATTAAGGCACCAGAATCAGACAGAGCAGTCCTGAATCTGGCTCCTTTGTACGGGTGGTGACAGCACAGGGGGGAGTGGCTCCGTGCTGACAGAGAGCAGTCGAGATCAGGTATTAGGAAGAGATTGCTCCCTGTGAGGGTGGGGAGGCTCTGGCACAGTCCCTGCCTGTGGCTGCCCCATCCCTGGAAGTGTTCCAGGCTGGGCTGGGCAGGGATTGCAGCAACCTGGGATAGTGGAAGGTGTCCCAGCTCAAGGCAGGGGGTGGAATGAGATGGGCTTTAAAGTCTCTTCCAACCCAAAACATTCTGGGATTCTGTAACCAACCCAAATCCTCATTTCCCGTTCCCAGGAACTCACCCAGAATTTCCTATTTCCCTCCCCTGCTCCCAGTTTCCAGAATTCCACGTTTTCCATTCCCAGGAAGTCACCCGGAATTCCACGTTTCCCATTCCCATTCCCAGTTAAATCCTCATTTCTCCCTCTCCATTCCCAGTAACTCCTTCAGACTCCCGTGTTTCTCACTCCCATTCCCAGTAACATCCTCTTGTTTCCCACTCCCATTCCCAATAACTCACCCGGAATTCCTCATTTCCCATCTCCTCACCCTGGAATGGGAAAAGCTCGGTTGGCCAGAGCATGCTGCTAATTTGGACAAGGCTGTGGGTTCATTCCCTCTATGGACCTTTTACTTTAGAGCTGGACTCGATGATTCTTGTGGGTCCCCTCCAACTCAGAATATTCTGGAAACCCGTGATTCCCTGGAGGGAATAAATACCCTACAGCTCAACCCAGGAGTGAGCCCTGCCTGCCCCATGTGCTGCACCCCTTTGAGGGAGAGCTGAAGAGATGTTGCTTGAAATAATTTGAAGCCAGGCCTGGACATCTCTGAAATGTGAGAGGTGTGAAGATCAAAACTCAGTCTGAACAGACTCCCTGTGAGGCTCTGCCATCCAAATCACCCAATGCATTTCCCTTCTTTGGACATGCAAGGATTCATTTCACCAGTCAGAAAGCAAAGGCAGCCCGAGGAGAAATTAAGGGTAAAGGGAAAATATGTTAACTGCACTAGAGTGAGGCAGCTTCCCCTGCAAAATTTCATGTTCTGCTGGGTGCAAAGGCGTAGGATGGCAGTGTCTGGCTCATTCACAGGGGCTGCTGCCTGTTTGATCAGAGGAAGGCTAGCTCTTGCAGCAATGCTGAGCTGACAGCTTATATCAGATGCCCTCCTCTGAGGGGAGAAAAAAATCCAGTCTGCTGTTAAAAACACCTCCATCGAAAGAGATGCACCCCGGGAATGAGTGCAGGGACAATAACACCCCTCCAGCTCGTGTGCATGCCGAGGCTGCTTCCACAGGGCTGGGGGAAGCAAAGTCACAAAGCTCGATGGGTTCTGCTTTAACAATAAACCATTCTCTCCAGCACGCAGCTCAATTTGCAAGGTTGCTTCTCTCAGCCATCACTGTGAAAGAGTCCTAAAGAGAATTCTACAATGGATTAAATTAGCCTATAAGGTCCCTTAAGTTCACCATCTTCTTCTCTACCCTTTCTCCTGCATTACCATTCAAGACTTCCCTCTCCAGCCTCTTCTCACTTGCAGCACTTTCACAGCCCTATAAACCTCTCAAATATGCAACACTTCTGATATTTCAGATTCCTCCAGTGAGATGGGGAGGATAGGTTAAAAAAAAAAAAAAAAGGAGAAGAAAGAAAAAGAAAGAAAAATACCCCTTGAATTTCTCAAATAATATATAAAAGCAATTAAACATTGGAAGGTCACCCAGTCTTCCACTGCATTTCATTAACAGAACAGTGCTTCTGAAAGGTACCCAGAAACAGGAAAACTTGATAGGCTGCCGAACACAAAACGCTGTGTTGCACATTCCCAGGTCAGAATTTTGATAGGGAAGGATGCTAAGTTGCATTGGATAAGGAAGATAATGCTGAGGATGAACTTGAGGTCAAGCTCAGGTATACTGAGAGTCCATTTCAAAATCTTCTTTTATTTTAAGTGGTAGAGAAGGAGAAAGGACAAAGTTAAAGGAGAATTAATTTGTTTTAAAAAAAGGAAAAAGTAAAAATAAAATAATTTTAAAAACTAAACAAAAAAAACCTTAAAAAATCCAGCAGGAAAGAGGACATTTGGATAGATTGTTGGCAAGAGACCCAGGACAGAGCAAGAGGAAAGGTGGAGAATTCAAAGGGGAACTTTCTTAACATTCACTTGGAGCTCACTAAGTGGGAGGAGAAACAAATCAGTAATATCAGGACAGGAGCCATGCTAGCCTATATAAGCTGGTGGGACATTTTCTTTTTCCCTACTTTCCTTCTGGCCTAACCAGCAAACCTACAGCTCCTCCCAAGCTCGTCTGAGAGGTAAGAGCACTCTGTTCTTTCCTTTTAATGCACCCTGCTACTGACTTACCTGGGTCTTTCCTCTCCCTCAAAACACCTGGCAAGCAGCATTTGAGCAGCCCTGCTGAAGGAGAGCAGCTGAGGCTCAGGAGGAGCACAAGAATACGAGTTATCAAGCAGTTTCTAGCAGGGTGAGGATTTATTAGTACTGCATAGCCAGGTGGCCGAGCCTTGGAGGAAATAGAGAAAAGAAATAAATTTTTAAAATAAATAACCAGAACTCTTTAGCATTTCCTTTTACTGCCTTTCCATTCTGCCAAATGAAAATGCCCACAGAGTAATAATACACAGCTGATGAGAGAGTGTCTCTGTATTTCTCCGTCCCTGAGAGAGAGGTCTCTGAAAACTGAATTGCATGTGAGCTTAATGAATATTTGAATCTGAGGTGTAAGCTTTCTTTTGATCTAATACTTTGAAATATATCTTCTATGGGAGAACCTGAGCTATTTTCTTCCAGTGAGGGTCAAGTGCATTATAACCTGTTTCAAGGATTGTGCTTGTGCTTGCATGTGTTCCTATGCCTAACACAATATTAATCCAGCTTTACTACACCCCTGGTAACATCACACGAGCTCTGCTGGAATTAGAGCTGCAGAGAGTCTGGCCCTTTCCTCCTATTGTGCTTGGATGCAGGAATTCCTCTAAAAACAGGCTGCTCACAGAGCTTGGCTGCCCGCAGACTTCACAGCAACAATTCAGAGAATGCAAGATACAATGGCTGCGATTGTGCGGTAGCAGGTCCTTGCACAAACAAACACCTCACCATAAATTAAACCCTCAGAGAAACCTGGATTTTGGCAGGGAGAGAGGAAAATTCCAGAAAGAAGAGAAAGTGCTAGATAGCTTTGCTGCATTTCCACAGGTAAAAGCCCCCTGTCCAAGCTTGGAAGCACCCATTGCCTGGAATATTAATCAGCCAAACTAAAAACTCTGTCCCTCTCCCTGCTGCAAGCACAACACTGCTCTTAGCATGCACAACACAAAACCAACCTGTGGCCAGGCTTGTCCCGTCCTCAGCAGGTGGATAAAGGAGTGTTTGCAGGGCCAGGTGCTGCAGGAGGGCAGCCCCAGCTTTAGAAGGCATGACTGGGATGCCGTGGGTACGGCCTGACAGGGAGGAAGTGCACACCAGTGGAAGGAAAATTGATTTAGGGAGACACGGGGTTGCATAACGTCAGCACTTTGCTACAGGACATTTATTAACTCTGAAAGGATGATTAAAAAGCATGGTAGATTAACATCTCGGCCCTGTGATGATTTCATCTTCATAAAAGAGAAACATCTTCTATGTTTTCTGCTTTGTTTCATGGGAAGCTCTCACTTCCCATGAAAATGGGTTTCAGTAGTTTCTCTGCACTTACAGCACACTACAAACCACTTGCACTTGCAGCACTGAGATGAAAAGTGTGTTCAGACTGGCTCTGCCTGGGTTCTGCTGCTGCTCCTGTATCTCACCAGTCACACACCAGTACTGGGAGTTTGCACTGCAGGGCTGGAACACCTCTCAAGAGTTTATGTGAGACGAGGCAGTGTGCTCCAAGCTGCCTGAGAACAGAACTTAGCCTTTAATTTTTTTTTTTTTCCCCTGGACTAATAGAAATCAAGAATAAAAAAATTACCAAACCTACCTCCCTTCAGAAGCCAAGCAGTCTGTTCCAGCAGAACACTCCTTTTGCAATTATCTCCATTTCCTTGCTTTGCGCACTAAGAAAAAATAACGCTTTCAGTGAAAACCATGTGTTTGCATAACTTCAGCTGCAGGTCTTCAAAAGACCTGCTGCAGACCAGCACACATGAAATCCCCATCAGAACATGTACACTTTGGTCTGCATTATTATTCAGATATCACTGTGTTAAAATTCTCTGAGCATATCCACAGTTCTGAGATAAGACACCTTCTGTATTCTCTCCTTTCCTAAATACCTGCTATCACCTACTCCCTGGAGCAACACAATGTGTTAACAAATCATTAATCTATGCATATATATGGTAGGTACTGCTTTGTAAAATCGCTAAAAATGCCTAAAAAAGTTTATGCTGGTGCCAGTTTCCAAGTGTTTCACTACCTCTTTATGCTCCTATTGGAAAACTCAGTAGAAGTAGTGCAAATCTTTCATACTTTGTGTTTCTGAATAGACAGGACAAGCCTCAGGGCTGTGGTGACAACAAAACTCACTCAGACAGGATGCAGCCCGGACACAGTGCCTGGGATGGGATTCAGGGAAGTCATGAAACCAGTGGGGCTGGATCTGGGTCTTCACTGTGTCATGAGGACCCCATCCCAAACCAAAGGTTTTCTTGGCCTACACCCACTTCCCACATGGCTGCTCTGCAGGTGAGGAGGCTGCTCAATAATGGTTTCATTCTCTCTTAGCATAAAAAATCACAGAATGGTTGGGGTTGGAAGGGGTTTTAAAGCTCATCTAGTCCCCCTCCCTGCCATGGGCAGGGACACCTTCCACTATCCCGGTTTGCTCCAAGACCTGTCTATCCTGGTCTTGAACACTTCCAGGGATCCAGAGGCAACCACAGCTTCTCTGGGCAATCTCTGACAGGGAATCTGACATGGAACAATTTCTTCCTGATGTTTAATCGAACCCTGCCCTCTCTCAGTTTGAAGCCACTGCCCCTTGTCCTGTCACTCACCACAAGCTCTACTGCACAGATGAAATTCCTGTGGTCCCTCTAGAGAAAGACAATGCCTAGCTCAAATGGGAGTGCCTGAGGGGTTGGAATAGGTGAGCCTTAAAGGTCCCTTCCAGCACAAAGTATTCCATGATTCCGTGTCATAATGAACACGGGTTGAGCAGCCCTGCAGGACAGAAGGTAACCAGGATCACCCTGCAGCCCCTGTGACTCTGAATGCTCTGGGACTCGCTGGGCATTCACTGGGTGTGAAGTTGGAAACAGGTTAGTGCAAGTGACTCACCAGGTCACCTGGTCTGATTGCCGTGCCAGCTGCACTGAGCTGGCTTCATTTCTGCCCCTGGAAAGGGCAGAGGAGCACTGCCAGCTCACTCTTGCCTGACTATTGCCTGACTATTGCCAGCAATACGTCCATTTTTTGGTGAATTCAGGCCCTCAGCCTCTTCCATTTTTTTATCTCCACTGTACAAGTGGAGTGGACAGTGACTGCAACACTTCACATGCACATTGCATCCCATTCTGCAGACCCCTGAGTGCAAACAGCTCCTCACTCAGCGTGCAAGGGAACACCCAGGGTCTCAGAGCACTGCTCTGCACTGCAGCAGCACTTCATTTTACAGGTTAGCAACAGGGAAAGCCCAAGCTGATAAAGAGGGAGATCCTTTGAAAAGAAAGGATCTTTCACTTTCAGGAAAGGATCTGCACTTTCACCAAATGGAGAGAGTTTGTCTTGGCTGGAAATTCTGATTTAACTGAAAGTATATTCCATTCACTTATTCCAGAACAAAGTATGAAAAAAGCGATAGTTAATCAATTAACATAATAAGTTATAACAGACCCAAAAAAAGCCTTCCTGTATCAGGACACCATTCCTAGCACCACTCTTTCCTCCTCTTCTTTTCTTTCTTAGCCTTTTTATTCCAGGTCCTTACCTTCATGTCCTACACAAAGCCAAACTCAATACTCTTCTGTATTTACTGGTCCTGTAATCAGCATCTCATCTAGAACCTATCCTTTTATTAGCTGAGCTCTTCCAGAAGGCAGAAAATGCCCATTTTTTTATTTGTACAAATATTTGCTCCTTCCTGAAATGTCACCGCCATCCCTCTTGTACCACAAGAACAAGAAAATGGCCAGGATTAACCAATGGTGCATTGACCAGGCTTTCCCCTACACAGACTCAGATCTGCTTAACCACACTGGAGGGTCAGGCAGTGCAATGCCCAGGGGTGAAGCACCTTAAGTACTCAGCACCTGTGTTTCTGAGCTATGGGTTCTCTCCCCACACGTTTACAAGGCCTTTAATAAAGTTTTGAGAGAGTCAAGAACTAACACAAGACCGATGTGTCTGTATCATCCTATTTAGACTATCAGCTCCTAATATAAATTCATTACTTCTTGCACAAGCTGGCACTCACCAGTGAGACCTGAAGCACCACTGGTTCTGTATTCACACAGCAACACACTTTGGTGTTTGCTTGATAATCACCAAGAATTAGTTCAGGAAACAGGCTATGCTCCAGGCACAGGCATTTTTATTTATTTGGTGACTTCATATTTAGAATTGGCTCTTAGACAAACAATGAATTGGCTATAGGCACTGATTTTTAATGTTAGGTGTAAGCCTCTGATCCATGTGCCTGAATAATGCTGTCTAGGCTGTATGAAGTGCCAAAGGTTATTCCAGCAACCCCTTGTGCAAAGGGTGTATGTCCCAAAGGGGACCCCATCTCCCAGTCCTGCATCCCAAACACCTTATTTAGGCCTAAACACCTTTGCTGGGCCTGTAACAGTCCCCTACCCTATTTAAACTTTTTATAGCACTAGGTAAATTTAATGAGTGTATTTTCATTTGTCTCTGAGGGTTTCTTACTACAGCTTCCAACATGCAGTCCCCAAAACTGTCTCAGCAGAGAATAAAGCAACATGACTAAGGCAGAGTGGAAAGCAAGAACGGTGAATTCTGGCATCAAACTCTTGAGTCAATGCTGGCTACTTCTAAAGTTTGGTCAGCTTAAAGTGCAGTTCAAATGAGAAAAAGGAATGTATGAATGCAAGTGAGTTATGGAATAAGGCACCATGGACAACCCCAGGCTAAGCCTGTGCTCACAAGAAGGGTGAAATGATCCTAATAGATGATTATAAAACTGAATTTAGGTGCCTATTATTGATGGCTGATGGATGAATTCAAACTGGAAGTATGGGTTAAGCAGCAGAGAAGCTTAATAAATGAGACATATTCTTATAACTGCGTGGAAGTCTGGGAGGACAGGGAATGTGAAGAGGGAATGTGCTCATGGACACAAAAGAATCAGGTGCTCAGAGTAAGGATTTTCCTCTTTCTGGTTCCAAAGTACCATGTGGTGAGCAGTAATGTGGCAAGGAGAATAAGCAGGGATCAGAAAGAGACATTGTAATGTACTCTTGTTTTTTCTTTTCCCTTGAATTTTACCAAAGGTTCAGAACATCAACATGGAAAACTGTGTTGATATCAAGATAGAAACCATGGGGGAAAGAATGCCAGTGAAGCAGAATCCACTGAGCACTGGTGGGAAGAGTTTCTGCAGAGCTGTGGGTTACCTCACTGGAGACATGAAGGATTTTGGAACCTGGCTGAAAGGTAAACCTACTTCATCATGACTAATGACAGCGGATTCCAAAAAAAAAAAGTATATCAAAGGAGTAATAACTAACTTCTTAGTGATGTGATTCAAGTTAGAGTAGTAGAGAAATTACCTCCACCCTGATTTATGTCCGTTTTGTAGGGGAAAAAATCAGCTTTGTGCAGAGATCCACATAGTGCTTAAATCTTGGGGATGTCTGAGATGACATTTACCTCCCAGCATGCCATGTACAAAGTGAATTTAGTCCCACAGAATATAGCCCTGGATGGTTATTCTGTACTCTGCCATTCTTCTTAACACTCCATGTCCTTTCAGCTGAGCAGTTTCTGTCAAGCCTAATGCCACTGTGAAGTTAAATTACACATAGGTAGGTGTGTTTGGTCCCTGTGATAAATCAGCAGTGGGATACACACACGATTTGCCATCTGAGCCACAGACATCATAAATTAGCTGGTTCATATGAATCTGGTCCAGGGTACTTTATAACACAGGGTTCTGGCAACCTCACTGCTCATCTTAGTTTTCCAGCTGTAAGCCTTCACTGTGGACCATAATAAATCCCTGTCAGGTTTTACAGTCTTGTTGATTCATTGCTTCAGCCGTGGTGCCAAGTCCCACTGCCAAAACTTTTCCTGAGTTTCAAAAATACATCCCAAATCAGTACCATCTGCAGACTTTAGGGGGCTTGTTTTATTGCTGGATTTGATCTTTTCCAGACAAACCCCTCGTGATCCAGCTCCTTGACTGGGTGCTGCGTGGGATATCCCAGGTGATGTTTGTCAACAACCCCCTCACTGGGCTGGTCATTCTGACTGGGCTCCTGATGCAGAACCCATGGTGGACACTCACAGGATGCGTGGGAACACTTGTCTCAACTTTAACAGCACTTATTCTGGGTCAGGACAGGTAAGTGTGTTAGATGTTTGGTGTGGATGAGGAGCCTGAATTTAGTGGGAGGGGACCCTGCCCATGGCATAGGGTTGGAACAAGGTGGTCTCTAAGGTTCTTTCCAACCCAAACCTTCTATGATTGTGTGATCCAGCCTTGACTGGGCATGTATCTGGTCTGCTAGGGCCAGAGAGATCTCCCAGCAGCTGCACCTGGTGCAGGGGGACACTGGACAAACCTGCAGAAGCGGGGGTAGGTGCTGAGCCAGGTGTGAAAAATCGAATTTCAGTGGATGAGTTCCAGCAGGACATCCCCAAACAGAGCCACAGCTGGGTGGGGAGGGAGGGCTGACGTCAGCAAAGCATCCTCAGGGGAGAGGGCTTCAGGACAGCTGTTCCCTCCCCACAGATCAGCCATAGCAGCAGGACTGTACGGATACAACGGGGTCCTGGTGGGATTGCTGATGGCTGTCTTCTCTGCTGATGAAGACTACAACTGGTGGCTCCTCCTGCCTGTGGCACTGGTGTCCATGACCTGGTAAGACAGATGGTTCCTCTGCTCCTCCTTCCAGCCCCAGAGTCCCCACACATGAGTCTGAGCTGCTGCATTTCTATGCAGCCAGCAGTGGAAAGGCAACACAACACATATGTAGTGTTAAATCTGTGCTGTTATTTACACTTTTAAACTCAGATGTAATCCAGAAACAAATAAAAATACACACATAATCACAAATAATCCCAGTGGGGAAAACAAAAATCAGTGGCTGATCATGTGTAATTCAATGTTCTGAACATGAGTCATATTGCTGTGATGCATCAATTCATTTCTGTTTCAAGAGGAACATTATTTTCACTATTTCCTACCATCATCAACCACAAGTGTTTCATCTATTTAAGTCACCATATAAAAATGTCATGAAAATTTACTTCTCCAAGCACAGAAGCTGTTCATTGGTCCCAAGACATGATGGTTGACACTAATCAAAACAAACAACTACTAATATTTTACTCGTATATATGACACTATAATCCACTAGGTATTTGGCCAGCAAAAAATTTTGAAGCCTGGTCTTTGACCCCAAAATGTCTAGCTGCAGATTGCTAAAACCACACCTGTAATTTGTCTGCCTGAATTTCATGTGGTGTTACAGTCACTTTGATGTCAGCTTTTATTGCTGATGCACAAGCTTGAGCAAGGGCACACAGCCTCATTCACAGTTCACTCAGACCCAGCATGGGTACCACAGTCTCACTCCAGGTGCTAAAAATAAAAGATCAACTCTGAGACTGAGCTGGGGAATAACTCCATTAAAGCACTGGATCCTGTCTCCTTCACGTTTAGCAAATTCACCATACATACTAACATAACACGACAGGAATCTGTACATTGATAATTGCCTTTGGAGGGGTAGCAAATTTATGGAGTGACCCTTTCTGTCTCTGATTTGATCAGAAAGATTGAAGAAATTAAACAGATAGAAGGAGGAGAAGGGGTTTTTTGGTTTGGTTTGGGGTTTTTTTTGTTTGTTTTAAATAGACCAAATTTTCTGCATCTGGGTTTACAGTTTGTCCCTCTGACAAGCTTCATTTTGCTCTTCTTTCAGCCCTATTTTCACCAGTGCTTTAAGTGCAGTTTTCTCTAAGTGGGACCTGCCTGTTCTCACCCTGCCTTTCAACTTGGCCTTGACCCTCTACCTGGCTGCTGCAGGACCACACAACCTCTTCTTCCCCACGACTGTGATTCGTCCTGCAATGGGAACACCGAACATCACCTGGGCAGATGCTGAAATCACCATGGTAGGATGTCTTAAGGGTCACAGTCCCCTTCATTTACAGTTAAAAACACTACAGAAATGTATTCTCTTCCTTTATAAATTCCTATGGAATGGGTTGGATGGGGCCTTAAATGACCATTCAGTGCCATCCCCTGCCATGGCAGGGACACTTCCACTGTCCCAGGCTGCTCCAAGCCCCATCCAGCCTGGCCTTGGGCACTCCCAGGGATCCAGGGGCAGCCACAGCTGCTCTGGGCACCCTGGGCCAGGGCCTGCCCACCCTCAGAAGGAATAATTCCTCCCCAGTATCCCATCCAACCCTGCCTTCTCTCCATTTAAAGCCATTGCCTGGGTGCTGTCCCTGCAGGCCTTGTCCCCAGTCCCTGTGCAGCTCTGCTGGAGCCCCTGGAGGCCCTGGCAGGGGCTCTGAGGTGTCCCTGGAGCCTTCTCTTGTGCAGCTGAGCAGCCCCAGCTGTGCCAGGCTGGCTCCAGAGCAGAGGGGCTCCAGCCCTGGCAGCAGCTCCGTGGCCTCCTCTGCACTGGCTCCAGTGGGTCCACCTCCTTTTTTGCTGCTTTATGGCCTGGCAGTAAAAAATTTGATTTATAAGAGAACTATTATCCAAAATATAATACTTTTTCTACTCTAGGAATTTACATTTTGGACAGCTTGAAAAGGAGAATCTTTTCATGTGCAGTTGGATCCAATTGTATAGATTATAATCTTCAAATACTCTCTTGAATCTAATTACCCATTTCTATTTCTATGCATATACTGATCATCTCCCCATAGCTAAGGTTGTGCTGAGAATTCCAGTTAGTTCACTGGGTAATTTTAATTTTTCAGATACAGGCTGTTTATAAAATTGCATCTTTCTGATTAGACATGAGCAAGCAGATATAACTGTGTTGGAATGGTTAAAAACTTGGGCACAGGTGCACATTCACACATTTTTAATTTATATTCAAGTGGGACCTTTCCAAAGGAACACTTTATTCTCCTGGATTACACCATAAACAATACAGATACCAGAGTAACTATTTTCTCCTAAGGCTCAGCTGACTATTTTAAGGGTTTCCTAGGGAGTGATTAAGAAAAGGAAGTTAATTGACACTAAACAGAAACCCACAAGTGACATTTCTCAAAGAACATTTACCATGGCACATAGTTTTATGGCGACTGTATACAAAAAGTGCCTCAAAACCATCTCTAAGCTGTGACCAAGCTGGGCTCTGTCCCACCAGCCCAGCAACTCTTGCTCATACTCCTAGTGGATCCCAACCATCCCCTAAGCTCACTCTCATGGTCCCTATGGATATGCAAAAATCAGCACATGCAAAGAGGATGATTAAACCCTTTCACAAAATCTTTACCTTTTATCTTAGAGCAAAAACCTGGCAGAGGAGCTCAGGGCGAGGGAGCAAGCTATGACTCATTTTCATTGAAGGGAAACCCTGTGGAAATGCCCTGCTGTCTCCTGAGACCTGTCCAAATATTCCAATTAAAAAGAAAGACTGTATCCAATAAATGCCAAATGTAAGCCTGGCCAAGAAAAATAGGTTTAAAAAAAAAAATACAAAGCTGATAACAAATTGTCTTGTTTGGTGTGTTAATTTCTACAGCTCCTGCAATCCATCCCAGTCGGCGTGGGCCAGGTTTATGGTTGTGACAACCCCTGGACTGGGGGAATTTTCCTGATTGGTTTATTTATCTCCTCTCCACTCCTTTGTGTCCACACAGTGATCGGCTCAGCAGCGGGGATACTGGCAGGTAATGGTTTTATCCAGATTTGTATAAAAGCATGGAGAGTAAAACAGGAACTACAATAAGTGGAGCAATTAAAGTCACAAGTGTTTAACCCAGTGGAGAATGGCTAATTGGAAACAAAATGTGCTCAAACTTCTGCTTTAAGAATTCTTTTGATTCACTTCCCCATTCTCTTACCTTGTTTTATGAGGGTGGAAACCTTCAGAAGAAAAAAGTGTCTGTTGTGCTGAGATTAATTTTTACCACAAAGTACTTAATTTCTGGGTGTATCCTGGTGGGTTTAGGGGCAGATCAATGAAAGTCATAGCCATCAGCCTGAACGTGCAGGCCTCAGGGATTCATTTAAGGTTCACATGTAGGCTCATCCACTCATGTGTGTTCTGCTGAAATTAAATCACCAAAGCCAGCTCAGCAGCAACAGGAAAATTCTGCCATGATTCCCTTTTAGACCCTAGCAACAGGATTACAAACAGCCCCATGTACAAGTGCTGGCCAGAACCTTTGAAAATCTGGATTCTTGCCACTTCTCCACCGCTTTCATCCCTTTGGCCAAGGAATGACACATTTCTCTGGCTTTATTTTCCAGGGCTAAGCTTAGCAACACCGTTTAACCAAATCTACTTGGGGCTGTGGGGCTACAACAGCGCCCTGTCCTGCGCTGCCATCGGGGGCATGTTCCTGGCTCTCACCTGGCAGGCACACCTCCTGGCCATGGCCTGTGGTAGGTACCCAGCAGGTTTTCACCTCCCCTTGAAGTGAGACAGGATGAGAAGAGACCTCTCCTCACAGCAGAGGGGGGCTGGAGCCAGATGGGCACCCCAGGCAGGCAGATGGATGTAGGCGAGGCTGACGAGTGGTGGGGCTGCGTGTTGGAGCCACGGCTTTCATGCACTCTGTGCTTTCATTTTTGGCCAAGAGCTGTGTTTAAAGAGCTGTGATCGGTGGGCACGTGTTAACTGAGGTCTTTGAAATCAAATCAGCTTTGTTTTGAGTCATTAGTTGTGTTTGTTCGCTCGTTGCTGGATGAATCACGGGTGGTTTTTTTCCAGCCATAGATACCGGCTCAAATTCCTTCTTTGAAGAAGGACATGCTAATCTTTGAGAAGAGTGGGGCTCTTCTCTAGTTAGACAGTACACACTCCCCATTCTCTTGAAATGGATCAAAGGCATGAGCTGGGCAACACAGCAGGGTTGAAGAATTATTTATAAGGAAATTCCATATGAAATTTCAATATCAGAGTGAGCTGGGAGTGAAACTATTGCTCATTCAGTGCTCATATAAGAGAGATTTAGCTCTGAATGTCATTGACCCACCTTCAAGCCCTGGAGGCAGGACAGATGAGAGTGGGTTATTTTCCTATGTAACCCCATCCATCAAGCTACATACTTTCCACGTCAGTGCAATTTTCAAAAGCCCATTATGCCATTGCACATTTTTCATCAGTCCAGTTTTGTTTGTTTGTTTGTTTGTTTGTTTGTTTGTTTGTTTGTTTTGCCCCTCCCATATGCTCCAGGTTGGAGGGGACACAGGGAGGGATTTAGCAGGGTTGTGCCCAGACAGGGTCACAATCATTGGTTGAGCTCCCCAAGGCAGAAGGAGAGATGTTTGTCATTGCTGTTGTACTCCATGAGCAGCTGAACTCACCAGGAACTGCCTTTCTCCTCCACAGCACTCTTCAGTGCCTACCTGGGAGCAGCAGTGACCCACATGTTGTCTGTGGTAAGTAGTGTATCAGCTAAGGGCTGATTTCCCTGGCTCGTCAGACAAAACACCAAGATGTGGAGAAAAACTCAGCCAAAGGCAGAAATGGTCTGGGAGAGGGGTTACTATCTGTCCAGGGGGGTTGGTGTGATTCCCACTGGAAAAGGTGACTTGGAATTATCACTTGCCACTTTCCATCCTCAGAGTTTGCACGAACTTCCACAGCTCAGCTCCAGACACTTGTGAGATGACAGAATCACGGAATGGTTTGGGTTGGAAGGCACCTTAAAACTCATCAAGTTCCAACCCCTATGCCATGGGCAGGGACACCTTCCACTGTCCCAGAGTGCTCCAAGCCCCATCTGTCCTTGAACACTTCCAGGAATGGGGCAGCCACAGCTTCTCTGGGCACCCTGTGCCAGGGCCTCACCACTCTCACAGGGAGGAATTCCTTCCTCATACCCAATCTAACCCTGCCCTCTGTCAGTGGAAAGCCGTTCCCCCTTATCCTGTCTAGGCCCTTCCCCAAAGTGCCTCTCCAGCTCTCCTGGACCTGCTTTAGGCGCTGGCAGGCTGCTAGAATATCTCCCCTCTTTCAGGTATTTACTTCATGCCAGAAGCAATTGGAAAAAGGGCCCTGCACATGTTAAAGAAACATTAAATTTGGGTTAACTTCTTTTCTCAGTTGCCAAAAGTCAGTAGGTACCACGGCCCAGGGAAGAGCTGAATGTTTCTGGTATCTGCTCTCCTCTCTCATTGTCACCTTCTCCTACCTCATGCACCCGAGAAACCTTCCCCATGGCAGATGAGGCAGCCCTCTCACCAGAGCTGGTAGATGTTTCAGGCTGATGCACAATGTCAAGACATCATAAAGAAACCCAGCCTCTCAAAGGAAAGACTCAAAGCAAAACCGAGTCTAGACTTCCTGCAGAAACCTTGTTCCAAGGTGTCTGGCTGTGGGTGTTAGTCTAATAAAAGAAAGACACGAAGCAAATGGGTGGTTTGTTGTTTTTCTTTGCAGTTTGGGGTGCCATCTGGAACCTGGCCCTTTTGCTTGTCTGCCCTGACCTTCCTGCTAATGACCTCAAACCACTCTGGGATCTGCAGGCTGCCACTCTCCAAAGTCACCTACCCAGAAGCCAACAGAGCTTATTACCTGATGATGAAGAGACATGAGAAGTCTTGCTGTGAGGCATAGAGACCCAAGAAGAGAGAAACTCAGCTCATTTCAAGGCAAGAGCACGAGGTATTTGCCCAACAGAATGTGATTTGTCTGCTACAATGTCCAACACCACTTCTGCGTGGAGAAACTTTTCCCACCACATCTATTTGTTCTATTCAGGAGATTTCTATTAGGTAGGACTGGGCTGTGCTGGAATGACCATTTCCCAGTATCAACCTGTTATGATTTCAAAGCACACATGTCTGAAAAGATACTTGAATTATAAGCAATGGGAAAATTACTTACAAGCTGAAAAGAAAAATCTTTCTGTGAAATTGAAGACACCGAAATCAAATGTAAAGAAATAAAGAGCATCTTTCAGCATATGAGGGGACTTCAAATTAATGGCTAAATATCTTATGACAGCAATAGGAGGCATGCTAGAGAGTTTCATTGTAGCAGAGAAATGAAATAAAGAGCACTCCTTGCCAAGTAGAAAATAGGTTGTGAAGAATTCCACCTGGAGAACCTCTCAAACCCCATGGAGGGAGATGTTCATTAGCAATCAACAAACATAAGATAGACATGATTTTTGTGATTTTGGTGTTAATCTCATGATTTCTTCTAATACTTGAACTTGGTGATGGGTTAGCAAAGTAGGGGGCAGCAAGAAACTCATTGCTGTCCCTTTCCTATGCAATAAAAGGGCTCTGTTCTGTCAGTACACAAATAGATCTCATTTGAGCTGAACTTCTGAATTCCTCTCCCTACACTGTCCCACTCAGCCCAGAAATATCAAACAGCAAAATGTGGCACTGTCCCAGCCTGCTGCTGAAGCTCAGGAGGCTCATGGGGACCTTGTGGCTCTGCAGAGCTCCCTGACAGGAGGGGACAGCCAGGGACAACTCCAAGGGAACGGGGACAGGAGGAAAGGGGATGGCCTCAAGTTGTGCCAGGGGAGGTTTAAATTGGATTGGATTATTTGGGAGAATATTGGATTGGATTATTTGGGATGAATTGGATTGGATTATTGGGGATAATATCTTTGTAGAAATAGTTATCAAGCCTAGGAAGAGGCTGTTTGGGGCAGCAGTGGTGTCCCCATCCTGGGAGGGTTTTAAGGCCTTGTGGGGGTGGCACTTGGGGACAGGGTCAGGGGTGGCCTTGGCAGCAGCTCTATGGTTCTGTGAAGATGCTGCTCTGCCTTCCTCTCTGCCCCACAGTGGGAAGGGGACATTTGAGGTCAGTCCAGCAGAGCTCTGCCGGGCACCAGCCAGGTGCCACCCGTGCCCAGGCTCCCAGGGTGTGCAGGGAGGGAAGAGGGGAGCTGTCCTTGCACCCAGCAGTGTGGATCACCTGAACAGGCATCAACCTTTCTGCCTGGCTCACTGACATACTCTGTCTCCTGTTGAAGCTCATATCTTCACCAAAAATATTCCATGTGCTCAGGTCCTTCAGCTGACAGAAGTCTGCATGCATTAGTGTCACACCAGGAAAAGCAAACCAAAACCTGTTCTCCTTGTAGCAAATGAAATATAATCTAGCATGATTTCTGAGTTTGGGAGGGGGAAAAAAAAAACCAAACCATGTATTTTTGCAAACATCACAAAGGCCTGAGTGTAAAATATTTGTGATGAACAGTTGGCAGTGTCTTCTGGTGAAGTTCTAGGATTTCAGATGTTCAACAGTATTTCTGTATGATTGACGCTCACTTGTAAAATGTAGCATTTCAATGATTTACTTAATAAATATCTACATAATGTTCTGCAGAGTTAATTTCTAAAACAAACATTCATACTTTTTTGAATTTGCTTTAAGTTCCTCTCTCTCTATTATCATTAAGCTCTTCCAAAGATAGGTTACTTCTTAAACAAGTAGTGTAGAAGACAATGGAAAATAAAATTTTTAAATCAGTGTGTGTGGGATACATAGGAGATTTTTAAATTCTGCTCTTTGTGCTTATCACAGAATCACAAAATCACAAAATTGTTTGGGTTAAAGGGTCTTTGTTCCATCCCCTATGCCAAGGGAAGGGACCTTCCACTATCTCAGGTTGCTCAGGCCCCATCCAACCTGGCCTTGGACACTTCCAGGGATCCAGGGGCAGCCACAGTTGCTCTGGGAAATTGATGCCAGGGCCTGCCCACCCTCACAGCTAAGAATTCCTTCCCAATATCCCACCTATCCCATCCCTACCCTCTGGCAGTGTAAACCCATTCCCCCTGTCCTGCTACCCAAGACAGCCAAAATCCTCCTCCAGCTCTCCTGGAGCCAGTTCAGGCACTCAAAGGAGCTCTAAGTCCTCCTCAGAGCCTTTTTCAGGATGAACAGCCCCAGCTCTCTCAGTCCTTTGGCATTTTGCAGTCCTTTGGCATCAAACCTCCTTAAACCTGCAAGTGCAAAGCCTGGTTCTGTACAGGAGGCACAATCAGCCCAAGGGACAGCACTGGGTCAACAGAGCTACAGAAACCTCCTCTAGAGCAGGCAGGGATTCATTCCTAGGGGAGATGCTGACCAGGCCCCAGACTGGGGCCAGATGAGGTCAGGTTTTTCCAGAATATTCCTGGAGCAGGCACAGAGGGCCATGGAGATGCTCTGGGGCTTGGAGCTCCTCTGCTTTGGAGCCAGGCTGGGAGAGCTGGAGGTGCTCACCTGAAGAAGAGAAGGCTCTGGGGAGATCTTTTGTGGCCTCTCAGCACTTGAAGATCTCTTTAAGAAAAATGTGGACAAACTTTCTATCAGGGCTTGCGACGATGGGAAGAGGGTTGATGGTTTTAAAGTAAAAGAGGATTGATTCTGACCAGATAAAAAGAAGGGATTTTTCGTGGGTAGGGCGGTGAGGAACTGGCCCACTGTCCAGAGGTATGGTAGATGCCCCATCCCTGGAAAAAGTCAAGGTCCAGTTGGGCAGGTCTCTGAGCCACTTGGTGCAGTGGAAGATGTCCCTGCCCATTGCAGGGGGCTGGGCTGATGAAATTCAGGTGTCCAACACAACCCAAACCATTCCCTGCTTCTGTGATTTATCAAATTGTAGTGTAAAAGGGTATTTTAATGCCTGAACTGAGATCTCCCCACCCTGGACCACGAGTGCCCCAGAGAGGCAAACCAACAGAGGCTGCTTTCAGCCTTCTGTCAAAATATGCACTTGAGCAAGAGAACACAGTTTATGTCCAGTGTAAATCAGCAGATTTCCTCTGACTGGTGCTATTCCAGCCTGCTGTTGCTGAGCAACAGGGACATTTTGGCACTACCATAAAGAAATCATACACACAGAACCCAAAAACAACAAAAGATGAAGGCTATGTCCCAGCCATTTAGAAAGATTTTGCACATCATTCAGAATTAATTCTACATTTTACACTATCCAGCAAATTTATTCTTCCCATCACCTCTCAGGAAATAACAGCTATTTGGAAATTTGACATGTAAGTCAGTCAGAACATGCATATTATATTATGCTTTTTCCCATTATCGTTCAAAACACTGTCTTTGCTAACAGGACTAATTTATCTTATTACTGAAACTGGGTTTTTTTGTGGGTTTTTGTTTGTTTGTTTTTTGTCTTTACATCAAATAAATACTATTCAGATCACCCCTCTTTTCCAAGCATTCTTTTTTCAGGGTTGTTTCTGATACACAGGTGATGCCAGACGCATGAGAAACACACTAGGCAGAAATTTTGGGGTATTTTCCTGGACTACCTCCCTCCCAGTGCCAGCAAAGAGATGCCAATGCGTTTACAGTTCTGAAAAGAAATACATATATAAATAAAATAAGTAAATGCTATTGAAAGTAATTCTTGGGGGAGAAATCAATAAAAACATTTTTTTTTAAAAAAACCACAAAAACTAAAATAAATAAATAAATAATGTTTATATAAATAAATAAGCTATAAATAAATAAAACCCTAAAAATAAATAAATTTTAAAATAAATAAATAAATAAATAAATAAATAAAGTTTTAAAAAACCCTGACTACTGGGAAACATCTGCTGGGAGTCACATTTTATCCAAAAGTCTGACTCAAATGAACTGCCTGACTGCCACTTCCTAAGCTGCTCTCATTGATGATGTCTGATGTGCATAAATCTCCCCCAAGACTACCAGTTTGATGTCAAGTGCTCAAATCCGGGGAAATGCAACAATGCAATGTCCTTTATCTGATCCTCCAGGACTGCTGCAGGTTCTGTTTGGTTTTACTGGGCTGCACATGAAATATAAACAGTATGAAGAATGCTGGTGTTGATAATTATCTAATCTTTTGAATCTTGACACTAAGTGAGAAGGGGTTGACAGAGAATTTGGCCATAGCTGGGCATAATTCACCTGCTAAGAAAGATGCTACCCATGAGGAAGCAGGACTGTGCATTGAAAAGATTATTCTTGATTATTGCTTGATTGTTTTCCTCTCCCTCATTCACTGCACGACAGGTGAATTGTTAGGCACAAATTAACACCTCTCTGAAGTTTCTCTTTGTCTTGCCATGGAAAACTGCCTTCAGGTAGTAAGACAGTCTTGTAAGGTATTTTGTCACCAGCAGCTGAGCTTTTCCCAGATTTGGAATGAGATGAGGAAACTGAACAACTCTCAAAGCAAATACACCTCCATGACATAGGGCCCTCACTCTCCATGTTCTCAGAGGCACAGACAGACCATGGCAATTAGTTTCACATGTATTGAAACAGAAACTGTTTAAACAGGAGTTGGAGGCCTTAATATTTCAGGGATGTGGGTCAGAAGGATCATTTTAGGACCCCAAAGGTGCTTTACTTGCAAAGGGGCTGTGAAGGTTAAATTACTTACCTTGAGGCTGAGGCCCCCTGACTTGCTATACACTCCAGTGCATAGCAGAATCATAGAATAGAATCACAGAATGGTTAAGGTTGGAAAATATCATCAAGTTCCCCCCAGCACTGCCAAGGCCACCACTGGCCCATGTCTCCAAATTCCACATCCACACAGCTTTTAAATCCCTCCAGAGACGGGGGCTCCACCATTGCAGGACCACCCAGGGCTGGACAACCCTTTCAGTGAAGAACTTTTTCCTTAATATTCAACCTAAACATCCCCTGGTACATCTTGAGGCTGTTTCCTCAAAGCAAAATTTAAAAAAAAAAACTCATAATCTTCACCATTTAGGTTGGAATATACCTCTAAGATCACTGCCATGAGGATTTCCCACAACAAATTCAAACTCTTAGAAGGGAGCAACAAAATCAATCCTATGAACAAACAGAAGCACCTTTGAGGGAAAATACAGACCAGTTGCACTTGGAACACTGGAGCAATTGCTTTTATTTTTAGGACCAGTGATGTCATTAACAGTAATTTTTTGAGTAAAATAAAACTACATATGTGCAGTTGCAAAAATGGAAGTTCAAACGCAAACAGTTTTTTAGAAAGTGTATTTTTTTTCCTTTTACTGCTAATGACAATATATAGATTAGAAGAAAATGGATAGAAGCCATGGTCTTAGAAAACTGACTAACTACAAATCCCTTCATTTTAGATTAAACATTCCTGGATTGGTCATCAGTTTAATCGGATAAGGCTGGGATCAGTGGGAGGTTAAGGATCAGATTTGCTAACGAGAACACTTAGAGAAATAATTCTTGGAAAAGCGTGCCCCTGGAATGGTGCACTGGGAAGGAAAAGAAAGAATTTTTTCAAGTGGAATTTTCCAGCAAACAGTCCTGGTGCCTCAGTCACAAAGCAGCTACAAAATTCATTGCACAGTGTAGTTCTGATGGGGGAGAGTGTGACACTGTAGGAAAGTGCAAATCCAGAGGAGGCCACGGAGCTGCTACCAGGGCTGGAGCCCCTCTGCTCTGGAGCCAGCCTGGCACAGCTGGGGCTGTTGAGCTGCACAAGAGAAGCTCCAGGGACACCTCAGAGCCCCTGCCAGGGCCTCCAGGGGCCCCAGCAGAGCTGCCCAGGGACTGGGGA